ATGATCTTGTGCGATACTTCAGCCCATATCCACAGGTTTTAGAACATCGTGACCATTTACTCCATCCTGACCACCGGCCATTCACTAAAGGAAAAATCTGTACCTTTTAAAATAGATAAGGGTTATAGATAGGAAAACTACAGCTAGAGTGGACCCTAATTAATCAGCCTCAAAATCTGTTCCATGAAAATTTAATGCGTGTTCAAAATTTATATATATGATTTGCCATACTCGACGGATGTGGCAAAGCCACTACCAGACCAATGTTCATACAACCCCTGTTAAACGAAATCCACGATCCTGACTACGAGCGTCGTTTAGTTTAATTCGACCGTTCGGTATACAGAGGTTTGAGCGCAAACATTCTTTACTAACTCTGCTCGAATTACGTAATTTAAATTAATATCTTTTTCTTTGTCGTATGTTAACGATTTGCTTTTCACTCGAATGTGATTTTTTCACACAATAGACGGAGCTAGCACTTTCTGGTATGTCAACATTTGACCCAATAAATTAAAATTTACCTACTTACTCCTCATAAATATTCCTTAGGATTATTTTGGGTAATTTTTAAATACCATATTTAAAAAAAACGGCCTTGCTTTTTTGGGTCAGTACGAATGAACTCTATTAACGACCTTCGATTCGGAGCTTGTCGGTTTTATGTGAGTTTTATATAGCAAGAGCGTTTGAGATAAAGGGAGTTAGTTGTACAGACAATAGCTACACAGTAATGGAGTCTAGATCAAGATTAATTAAATAATATATTAGATATTTGATGTTAAATGCAGTTTTAAAAAAGTAAAAGGAGTTTCTCACCTGTTTTTCCTCTTTCGCAGCATTTCCCATAGTTGCCATACTTACAGCGGCAGCGCTTGTTGTACACCATCCATCCACCATGAAGACAAAAGCGATTGCAAGGGCGGGACTGGTGTAGTGGATGGTTACACTGGCCGCCGCACTTCTGCGATCTAGTGATATGACGGTGTCGTGTTTGTACGCCAGAAGGCCCACAAGATTGACTGCAATGGCTCCATCTGGTCCATCCGCTAACCGCGCAGTTTACCGGTCGGCAGACGTTGTAGCGTCGACGACGGATTCCAAGTCGGAATCTGAAGCGTAAGAAACGGGGCTCGCTATCTGTAACTTCAAGAAATAAACTCAATAGAACCAAAAAGATTGGAATGATGACTAACGACTTCATTTTTGAAGCCGAAGTCTGCGAGAAAACAAATGCTAGGGCTCAAAAATTGGTCCCTTTCTCTTTGGGATTTGAGAGATCAAGAGGATAGTTGCAAGTGCAAGCTGAGAGCTCCTGCAACGCTGAGGAATGCAGAATAGGTCAAAATTCCAGTGTCAATGGCCATTTAAATTTGTTTTTCGACGAAACTTTAATATGTATTGTGTACACAGTATAAGAAAAGATTGTATGTACATAGGACATGGCGGGATATACTCCTACTCACATTCCTTTAAACAGACGACAAATATGTGGGGGAGGGTGGGATTAATGCCGAGTCAAGGGACAAAGAAGATAAAACAAGGCCGACGTATTCCTTTGTATGATCAAAAAAATGTCGGGAAAAATTCAAAAAAAGACACAAAATTATCCTCATCAAATAATTTTGATGTAACCAGTTTTGATGTCGTTGTTAGAAACAAATTGGTACGGGTGA